CTATAAAATATGACGGAGGAGCAGATCCGATTGCTTTCATCGAACGGTTGGAAGAACTAGCAGATGTCTATGATATTCAATTAAACATGCTGTAACATAAAATTTACACTAACTAAATTTTACTACACAAATAATACCAAACAACACAAATATAATAAAAACAAAATAAACAACAAGAAAACAAACAACAATAGAAAGAAACTTGTAAACAACGAACCGTTGAAATCACAAGAACAAAGATACTGCTTGCTTCGCACATCACAAGTATAAAAGGCGAAGCAAACGCAGTAGACGGGGATTCAGCAAGACAGCGAGCTAAGAACAGGTCGCTCTATATTACATGTGCTGAAACACCAAGAATCGAAATTTACATCTCGATTTCTATTTTGTTTTTTTATTTTTTTTATTTTTAATAGAAATACACATTTCTATTAAAAATCATAATTAATAACGAAATTAACATTTCGTTAATAGTAATAGAAATATAAATTTCTATTACTCTATTGTTCATAACGAAATCAAATTTTCGTTAGTAAATTACTCGGTAAGGTGATAATAACCCATGAACATTATCACCCATACCAAATCCATTGTATGAAGAAGAAATTCACATTTCTTCAAACCTTTTGTCAGGGGCGTCGAAATTAACATTTCTACGCCAAAATCCATTGTATAGAGAAGAAATTCACATTTCTTCAAACCTTTTGTCAGGGGCGCTGAAATTAACATTTCTTCGCCAAATCCATTGTATAAAGAAGAAATTCACATTTCTTCAAACCTTTTGTCAGGGGCGTCGAAATTAACATTTCTACGCCAAAATCCATTGTATAGAGAAGAAATTCACATTTCTTCAAACCTTTTCTCAGGGGCGCTGAAATTAACATTTCTACGCCAAATCCATTGTATAAAGAAGAAATTCACATTTCTTCAAACCTTTTGTCAGGGGCGTCGAAATTAACATTTCTACGTCAAATCCATTGTATAAAGAAGAAATTCACATTTCTTCAAACCATATCACCGTACCAACGTCACCATCCACCGTATTCCACTGTTCCTATCAAATAAATTTATTGTAGGACTGAACCTTGAATCCGGCGAGTAAAACCCCGGCCAGAAAGGTTCGTTACAATTGGCGCCCGAGCAGGGACCGTGGGAACAGAACTGACCAACATCTTCAGTTGAGTATGGAAGACAAACCAACGGTGGTACCATCAGGAATCAAGGAAGTGACAGGACAAGCAGGAACCTTGGTACAGATACCAGTTAACATCGTCGTTTATCTTTTACCATGGGACAGTATTCTTATCTCCAGACAGTTGAACAAGTCGAGAAATGGTGTGTTAAATTTAATGGTAGTAAGGACCCGTTGGGCTTTATTGAAAACATTGAAGAACTTGCAGACATCTATGGCATCGACATAAATCTAGTTCCCAAGATGATGCCTATATTGCTTGAAGATAAGGCACTAATGTGGTACCGCTACAACAATAAGCATTGGCAGCTCTGGACAAGTTTCAAGGTCGACTTCCTAACTTTCTTTTTGCCACCTAGATACTTTGAAAAATTAGCAGATCAAATAGGATCCCGACGTCAAAGGCCACTAGAAAGCTTTAAGGATTATTTAATTACCATTAAAGATCTGATGCGACATGCTGGCATGGATCAAAGTTCGCAACTAGAACGAATATATCACAACATGGGCACTGACTTCCAAAAGTATATCAAACGTCAAGATTTCGAGACTTTAGAAGAGCTAATTTCATTAACCGATGAATTCGAAGCACTTGGCACAGAGCAGGTTAAAACATGTCGAAGCGATAGTCAAGAAGAAGCGTTCATCAGGCTCACAGTAGTCGAGTATCCACAAGTGATCCCGTTACAGAATCAGTCCAACCTACGTACAAAAAAACTTAGCATGCAGTATCGAAATTATATAGAACAGCATCCAAAACCACTACAAGAAATTTCCCAAACGCCATGTAAATGCCTCACACCTTCACAACAAGGATTGCAACGCCTAATGTCGATTAAAGAAAACCCAGAAGTATTTCAACCAGCCCGAGTAATACCAGAAGAAGTGCAGCGCCAGCAAAACACAGAGTCTAACGCAGAATTACCGAGTCAAGAAATACACCGTCAGCAAAACACAGAGTCTAACGCAGAATTACCGAGTCAAGAAATACACCGTCAGCAAAACACAGAATCTAGCACCAAATTACCAAGTCAAGAAATACATCGACAAAACACGGAGTCTAACACAGAATTACCAAGTCAAGAAACACCAGGTCAACGGAACACGGAACCTAACGCAGAATTACAAAGTCAGGATACACAACTTAACAAACAGTTGCAAACTCAAGTCCAAGAGATACACCGCCAACGATCTACAAGGGAGTTTCTAGCACAAAGCCAAGAGATACAACGACAGCAAAACTCAGAACCTGACAGACAGTTACAAATTCGAAGCCAAGAATGTCGAGCACAAGTTTCAATTACTCGCGTTAGTCAACAGGAACAAGTGCCACCTCAGGAGAACTTTAACGTAGATCAAGCGAAGGCAGAAGGAGCCAAGTCACCAACGCTAGTAAGACAATGTTTCGTCGAGACAGAGATTCCAAATAGTAGTCAAAATCGCCAGCAACAATTAAGACGTTTAGGTATACTTAAGCAAAAGGATGACAATCATAACATCATAGCCCAAGACAAGTTCTTTAAAATTTTCAAAAATCCAAGGAAACGAACAAGGAATCATTCTACGAGGTAATCAGAGTCCTTCAATTCGATGGAAAAACCGGGGAAGTGTAACATAAAATTTACACTAACTAAATTTTACTACACAAATAATACCAAACAACACAAATATAATAAAAACAAAATAAACAACAAGAAAACAAACAACAATAGAAAGAAACTTGTAAACAACGAACCGTTGAAATCACAAGAACAAAGATACTGCTTGCTTCGCACATCACAAGTATAAAAGGCGAAGCAAACGCAGTAGACGGGGATTCAGCAAGACAGCGAGCTAAGAACAGGTCGCTCTATATTACATGTGCTGAAACACCAAGAATCGAAATTTACATCTCGATTTCTATTTTGTTTTATTTTTTTTATTTTTAATAGAAATACACATTTCTATTAAAAATCATAATTAATAACGAAATTAACATTTCGTTAATAGTAATAGAAATATAAATTTCTATTACTCTATTGTTCATAACGAAATCAAATTTTCGTTAGTAAATTACTCGGTAAGGTGATAATAACCCATGAACATTATCACCCATACCAAATCCATTGTATGAAGAAGAAATTCACATTTCTTCAAACCTTTTGTCAGGGGCGTCGAAATTAACATTTCTACGCCAAAATCCATTGTATAGAGAAGAAATTCACATTTCTTCAAACCTTTTGTCAGGGGCGCTGAAATTAACATTTCTACGCCAAATCCATTGTATAAAGAAGAAATTCACATTTCTTCAAACCTTTTGTCAGGGGCGTCGAAATTAACATTTCTACGCCAAAATCCATTGTATAGAGAAGAAATTCACATTTCTTCAAACCTTTTGTCAGGGGCGCTGAAATTAACATTTCTACGCCAAATCCATTGTATAAAGAAGAAATTCACATTTCTTCAAACCTTTTGTCAGGGGCGTCGAAATTAACATTTCTACGTCAAATCCATTGTATAGAGAAGAAATTCACATTTCTTCAAACCATATCACCGTACCAACGTCACCATCCACCGTATTCCACTGTTCCTATCAAATAAATTTATTGTAGGACTGAACCTTGAATCCGGCGAGTAAAACCCCGGCCAGAAAGGTTCGTTACAATGCTGCCAAGAACTATGCCTGAGTTGTTAAAAGACAAAGCTTTGGTATGGTTCCGACATAATAAACAAAGTTGGATGAATTGGAATGACTTCAAGGAGGATTTATTAAAATTTTTATTACCTCGTCGCTACTTGGAACAACTTGATGATGAAGTCCGGCAGAGACACCAGCAAAGTAAAGAAGACTTCAAGACATATGTGCTAGTGATGCAACGTTTGATGAAATACCTAAACTATACAGCAGTACAACAGCTGGACAGAATATTTCACAACAGTAGAACAGAATATCAATTGTACATCAAGCGTAGAGAATTTCAGCCCCTAATGGAGCTAATAAATCTAGCAGAAGACTACGAAATCATCCGCACAGAAGAGAAGAAAAAACCAACAGAATCTCGCCCAATCGACAAAGGAAGACAGATACCATTTGGCCAATTCACACACATTAACCTGCCCTGTGAAGGAATACCTTAACTGGTCGTACTGCAGGGATTTTCAGGATTTTGAGTTTAGAATGTAGGGACTTTTTAGTCCGTGGGCATGTATGACTCAATTTGAGTCATGCATGAATCGGGCATGCAAATGGTACGGGCCATTTGTATTTTTTGAAGATTTTTCCCCCAGGTCCGATACCAAAAAAAAAAAAAAATATGAACTGCACACTCGTGTGCACAGAGAATTTTTTTTCGCACAGTGCGGTGCGAGCATAAAATTTTCTCGCACATGTGATTGTGCACATTTTTATAAGTCAGTTGCACAGCACAAATGTTTTTTTGTTTTTTTTTTTTTAAGCTATACGAGCTAAGGGATGTGGAATCTTCAAAGGATACTGGTAGCCCGTACTACCAGCATGCACGATTCGCAACCAAGACTTACTCTTTTGCTTGATATTTGCGC